TCTCTCATGGTTCGTCCACCCCTCCGATTTCCCCCGCTTCATTACTCCCCTCCCGCTACCTTCTTCTTCTTCTTTTTTTGGAAAAATCCCTTTTGAAACAGGTATCTCTCCTAAGGTGAAAATGGTAAGCAGTCTGGAGCTAAGCCTGAAGTTCTCTAATTAAAGGGCAGATCTTAGAGTTTCAAGTTCATTATCCTAAACTCGGAATGCTAATCCTATCTCAGAGATAGCCCGGAACTCCACAGTGCAGAATTATTACCAGGTATTCTCGTGCTCGTTCCATGAATAATGGTGTTTAAAATAACAAAACTCCATCATTGAATGTCAAAAGCTATGTCAGTGCAATTGCTGAGAATTTACTAAGATCAATTTGGGTGGCTGGCATGAAAATTGCTGTGTTCTTGGTATTTCTGAGCACATGTTATGTTAACAGTACACTGGGGTAATTCCCACTGTCATCTTCATTATTTGCTCAGTTATTTTGGGTCCTTCTGGCTGGACATTTTGTAATAGGGAAGAAAAAAAAAGAGGTCAGCGGATGCACTTACCTGAAATGGATTTAAGAAAAAATATCAATAGATATCTTGCCTAATGATCAAGAGATCAATTACCCTCATAAATTTCCCTCTGCCACATTCATTTTACTACTGCCTATTTTATTTTTAGTGTGGATTTTTACTTTGGTTTTGGGTCATTTAATGACATGGGTCATGTTTACAGATTATATTTTGTGGGGGCCATCTTGATGACATCAAGAGGGTCTAATACTATTTCACTAATTGAACTCTTAAGATAAGTAATCCACAAGCCTGAATTTCTAAATGGCTTGAATCACATGCAGAAAATGTTCTAAAAAGCTTTCCTATAAAGCTTTGCTGGCTTGCAGGGAAAGGATGACCCTCAGCCCACATTTTCTGTCTGCCCCAGCTGGAACGTCCGTTGTTTTGGCATAAAGATTTTATTCTGATGCAATCCTAGACCAAAGGGTTTCCAATCAGGAAGGGGTGATGCAATTTGACCAAATTGCACTCCTAAACAGCTTCACTCTTTGATCTCACTTATAATTGATTTAGGATATAGCTAATTTTAGCCACTTGCTGGGCTGTTATTCCCTGAATCAGAATCCCCTCCACTCCTTTTCCAGTTCGACAGTAATAACGGGCTCCAAGGTCCCCATTTCCAGCTAACCACCCTGAGTTAAACCAATCCAGGACTTTAGCTCCAGTCTTTTTCCCTGTTTCAAGTTACTGGTCTACAATCTTGTTTCTTCTTGGGAGCCTAACTTATTTTCTTCCTTTTCATTAGTTGGAGCCTTGCTATCCACAGGGGCTCTGAGCCCAACACCAGCTGCTTGACACTGGACTTCCAAGTATCTCCTGCCACAGAACC